CGTGAAACAAACGGGCCGTCTTAACCTCACCTGGCGGACTAGGAAGCCTATGCTCATGCTCTCTCAAATGGACTGTGCCCCCTGTTGCCTCTCCCCGGTCCATACCTAGGACTATGTCGAAAGGGAGGTCATCCTATACGAGGAGAGTCAGGGAATGGAGAACCTTCTCCACCTTTCCATCTTTCTCTAGGCGAAAATATACCTGGACTCCCTCTACGTAGTCCTCAACACGCATGGTGCGGTTGTCTGCGAGGACACTGACTATGGGGTCTGTTAGCTTCTGGACTTTTAACCCTAGCCTTAGCTTCTTCAGCGGCCTATGGCTAATATAACTAGGAGTAGCCCCTGAATCTATAAGGGTTCCTACTCTACTTCTAAAAACCTCTACATCAACTAAGACTAGTTGTCCCTTACTATCCTTCTTCATTTTGGCCCAGGCAGGCATCCTCTCCTTCAACTCCTCTGCCACGCCTGTGCGGGAAGTGCCTAGAGAGACGCTAACACAGGCAGTCTCTGGACAGCTAACTGAGCACTGGCCTACAACCTCTATCGAAGGCTCATGTGGTGTGGGAGTTTCTTGTTCGCGCGCGCTCGCTTCCCCACATGGTCTTGTAGTAGGGGCAGTTGCAACCCCTACCGGCGGCTGCCTTTTGACCCTTGGGCAGCCGATCGGGCCCTCTGTACTTAGGACAATATTTAATGATATGGGCCGGGTCACCGCAATATATGCATTGACCCTGGTCCATACGCTGCTGCCATACTCGCTGATCCAGGCCCAGATCTTCCCAAGGTCGGCCTTGTGGCCAACCTGAGTGCCAACCTCCTTTCCTCTGAGGTGATTCTCCACCTCGTCGCTGCGGAGACCGACTAGGACCTTGACCCGTACCTCCCTCTTGGCAGTTCCTTTGGCCGCCAACCCCCTGCGCGCCCGGTCCTCGACCACCCGTGGCCTGGCCCCTTTGGCCCTGGCCTCCTCCTCTACCTTCCGGCCTCCCTCCAGCCGGACAGCAGCATAGGTCCTCCTCTGGCCTATACCACTGTCCTATTCCTCTAGCCCCCACTCAATCTGGCTGTAGGGGACTTGCCACCTTCGTCCAAAGTAAGGATCAGATGATCCTTGGCCCTGACCTGGCCTGAGATGGTACAGCGCTTCCACTTTTTACCTTTGTCTAAGTCCTTGTGCCAGGAAGTGGACACTGACATGGACTCTGCCTCATACAGCACCACCTCTGTACTCAAGGCATCGTACGTCATGGTGGGTTGTTGACTCTTGTTAAAGAAATGCCCTCGTAAGGGCTCTGGCACTGCACGATAAAACAATTGGACCAACTGGGCCTCCTAAACCCCGTGGTCTGGGACGGCTACCAAGTCGTCCATAACGGCTTTGAGTGCTCGCGCACTCCTCCACTGTCGTGAGTGGATGGTCTGGAGTTTGTCTGAGACCTTAACACCACGCCTCAGATCAGCGAATCGCTCTCGGAGGAGCTTGAAGAAATGGGGAAGGGAGGTGACTTTAGAATAGGCAACCATGTTGTTCTCACAACTGGCTGCGCGCTCTAAGGACCTGGCAAAATTAGCCACTTCGTCCTTCAGTGCATGGAAGGCTACGAGAACATGTTCTTCAGGTACAATGTGTTGTAAATAAACATAGCTACGACTTCTTTTTCCTCCTGAGGCATATACAACATTGCCTCTTCATCTTCTCCCAACGATAAATTAGCAACCCATTCACTGATCTTCTTCTCCACCCACGCATCTTCTTCCTTCGTGCCAATGCTTTCTCCTCTTTCTCCCCTACACCTCCTTTCGAGGGGTTCTTCTTCTAATTCTTCCTCCTCTACTGCTGCTTCTTCTTCGGCAGCCCTCTTTTTCTCTTCCTGCTCTTGTTGTAATCTCATCATCTCCTCCTCCAATTTCTTCTTCTTCGACGCCTGCTCCTCAGCTATCGCCTTCAACTTTGCCTGCTTGAGGAGCTCCTTTTTCTCCTTCTTCTCTTTTCTCTCTCTTAAGATGGCGACGAATTGCTCCTCTTGAGCCTGGGTGTAAGGGGCAGTACTCTTCCCACTACAGGTGTCATGGTGTCAGGCGCACAACCGGACAACGGTTCCACTCCTCACCACTTAGACTCTACCCCCCCTGACTGACACGACCTACTGACTCAACCTAAGGACTACAGAATCCGAATAGGATCCTATCAACTAGGGTCACTAGCCTAGACCTAAACTAGGGTTGTTGATGATTAGGAGGCATTTAAGGAGATCCCCCGTAACTCCTCAGGAATTCTTTAAGGTCGCAGACAGGACGACGCGATCAGCAGGTCCTCTCAAGACTTAGAAGGCCTGTTGTGCCGCCCACGGCTCGGATTTTGGGCCTACCGTGCCACACTGAGCAGCCCGCCGGTCAATACCGGTCCTTGGGAGGGTTCGTGTCCTCCAGGACAGTCGAGTCGTCAGACACAGTCTTTAGCCCTACTCAGCCCGTGTGGGTTTGGTCAACAAGGCCCTATCCTTCATCCACAAAGTCCTATCACCTGGACAGAAGAGACTCGATGCAGAAAGAAGAGAGAGACAGACTTGGCTCAGCATGTACCACAAGGTGTGTGCACATCCATAGGGCGAGGGGATAGGTTGAAGGCTTGGCGAAATTATACCGGCTCCAGCTTGGTCAAAATCGTGGTCAACAGTCTTGGTCAACGCCTTGGTCAATGCTGCATTCAACCCCCGGTCAACTCCCGGCCAACTCCCGGTCAACTCTCGGTCAACTCCGCCGGTCAACTCTCCATCCGGCTATGGCGGCTGGCTTCCCCTTTGTCGCCACCCTCCTCCTTCCTTTTACCTTCATCGCCTCCTTTCTCTTCACCCCGGCTGTCTTCTCTTTTTTTTTTTTTTTTTTTTTTTTTTTGTTCTCGTCTCTCCCCTCTTCTTCCTCCGCTTCAACTTGTCTCCTCAGTCTCTCCCTCCGTCCTCTCTTTCACCTCCTTCGTTACCCTGTGGTGGAGCTCCGCGGCTATGATCGCCTTCTTCTTCTTCGTTGGACTGCACAGCGATCTTCACAGGTATGTGACAACCAATCTTCTCTCTCTCTCTCTCTCTCTCTCTCTCTCTCTCTCTCTCTCTCTCTCTCTCTCTCTCTCTCTCT